CATACCTTTCAATTTAGTGATTCCATCTAAGAATTTACCCAATGGATATACTCCCAAAACTGCAAAAATTAAAAACTATTTAAATACTGGTCACTAAAAAGAAGGAGGTGATCCGTAAATGTGAATCTAGAAAGATCTCTAAGACACACTCAGTGCAGCACCTGTGTTCGTGAATGCACAGATTCTGAGGATGCCCTTGAAACCGTCAACAGGGATCCTCTTCAGAGACGAAGAGGGTAAAAGGGAGCGAGCGGAGGTGTTGATGCTTCACTTCATACCTCTGTGTATTTGGATCCACAACTACGGCAAAATTTTATGTTGAAATTTCTCTTCAGAGAAAATAGGGAAATGCCACCAGCCACCCCAAAACACTGCTCAGATTGATGCCTAAGTATCTCTTTTGTGGAAGGAAAATACTTGAGCTCTGTTATAACGCCTGTGAAACCCCTGCTCTAAGTACCCATTATGCCATGGTGTATATGTGGGATTCCATCTGAATTCTATGAATCTGACTCCTGAACTCTTAACAGAAAATACAAAGGAGAAGAGACTTTAGACACCAGAAAGGAAGGACATGCAGAAACAGCCACTGACTTGGGAAAGAAATTCACTCAGATCTTTTCAGGTCAGAAGTTAAGCATTCATGATTTCTCTGCAGAGTAAGGAAGAACATACAAAAGTCAAGAAATTCTTAAGAAGGGAAGGAGTGTGCTGAGTGAGTCCTGACCACCAGCAGAGCAGAGGGCAGCGGGCCCTGAGTCTTCCGTCTCCATTTTCCTCTCATGTATCGCCTGTGTCTATACAACCGAACACAGCACATCCTCAGGACAGACCACGTGAAGTCATGAGATCATCACGTCCTAACCGTGCTGTTTCACTGACGTCCCTCCAGGAACCGCAGCAATGACTCTCACTGGGCAGCTGACCAGGTCACTTCTAAGGCACTCCATGGCCCCAGGGGTCTGTGACCACACTGCATTTAGTGACTGTCCCAGCTGCAAGGTGAAACCTGTATGAATTCCCACAAGCTGAAGCTCTCCACAAGGCAAACAGGAGAAGACAGCAGCAGTTACAAGAGTCTTTTTGGAAATCTCAGCTGAGCCGACAACCAACAGAAAGAAGAGCAGAAACAAGAACGATGTAAATTCAGCAAAGTTGCCTTTGGAGGCCTGTCAAAATGCAAGGGAAAAGTGAGAAATAGGTACCTTAAAGAAGTTCCAGAAGCTCTAGCCCTCCATCTCTTAAGCAGCAACAAACTGTATGTAGGTTTTGTCAGCCCCCCACCACATACTCCAGTGAACCTTCCAGAGCCACAGGAGGGTTGAGCAACAGCTGGAATGCCTCCCATTTCCTAGGGTCTTGATGCCCCCTACCCAGATCTACACCATCTGCCCTGTCCTCGCCTCAGCTGACCACTCTGCAGGCCGATAAGGGCTCTTAAGGCCCCAGATCCGAGCCTGCCAAGACCCACAATACCTGCCTTTTCTTTCCACAACGCTGGCTTCTTAGAAAAGCCCACCTGCTACCTTCCACATCCCACCTGTGTCCTGGACCGGCAGCCAGCCCTATGCTTTCATATTCCATAACAGAGAACTTGGGAGACTGCAGAAAGCCTCAGACAACGGATGAAGGTCCACCTTTTTCAGAGGGGCAGAACCCACGCCTAGTTTCTGCTCACCTTCTTCATCAAGAAGAAAGGGCAGTGCTGATCCTCTGTACAACACCACGGGCATTCATCCCTGGTGTGCTCCACAGGAGAGCCTATAAAATTCAGACCAGAGCGGGGCCCCTTCAAGACTTGTCACAGCAGATGGCGATGCAGGTCTGCTGTGATGTGTGCCTTGTACGCCAGGTGCTCCTGCTTAAAAATAAAAATGTAACCACTTTTGATTCTGCAAAATACAAACTCAACCCAAAAGGAAGGGAGTGAGAAATATGTGTGGAAATATTAATTTACAGTCACAGCACCTTAGGTCTTCCTTCTAACACTCACCTTGACCTAAGCAACTTGTCCAATGCGAGGTTGGCACAACCACAAGGAATGCACTGAGAGAACAGGATTAGGCGGTGAGTTAACGTCAGAGTAGTATTTTAGAGGCAACCTGAAAATCCAGTATCCTGGTGGAGAGGCACTACCCTTAGTTCTATTCAGCATATTTTCCTATAAGTACTACTACTTCATACCCCCATAGTATCTTACAGCTGAAAATGTCCTCTCATTTCCATTTTTATTTGAACTTGACAACAGTCCAACTATGAACTTCGCATATTTCCTGACAATGAACTGTCACCTCTAGTTTACAGATGCGGTAAGACTCAGTGAGGATAAATAATCCACTAACAGACAGAGCCCAATTCAAGCTGACCGGCCAAGTCCTCAGCTTTTTATTTTCTCTCACTGGAATAATCAAATTCACTTCAGCTCAGCATTTACTGAGCATCTGCACATGCCCAGCCTGTGCTTGGAGCTGGGATCTGAATAGCTCCCGTCCCCGCCCTGCACAGATCCTAAAGGCCAGTGGGGGAGGTGGGTGAGCCTGTAGCTGTAGCACACGCTGCCACAGCAGCCATGCACACCCAGTGCACTGGGGACGCCAAGAGGCTGCAGAGAGGTCAAACCTCTGAGTCAGGACTTGCAGGATGAATGGATTCCCCAAATGGAGAAGCAGAGACCAATGTGGACACACATACTGAGACAGGCGAGGAGGCCAGGAAGTTGCTGGGTGCCCGGGGACAGCTAGCGCACCTTGGGTCGAGGCCCAGGGCACATGGGGACTAGGCCAGCACCCAGAAGAGAGCCTCACCTCAGCTTGTGAGGGCCTCACGTTCCACACACCAAGGAGCCTGCATTCCATCCCAAAGAGCAGGTTCAAAGACAAATCAAGGGGGACTAAGCATTAAAAAAATAAGGTTCAACAGCTAAAATACCAACCTAAGGCAGTTAAGAAAACAGTGTCCAACTGAGGACACTGGTTAATTCTCACCTGTACACAACTACATGACACTGGAATGGAAACTGATGAGCACAGGTACCAGGTAAGGACAGAGGCAAAAAGCAACATTTTTAATTTAAGGATGATGGATTTGAGATTAGTGCAGCAGGAAAGGATCTTACTTCTTTAAAGAAATTTTCAAAAACCCCCACTTACCGTTTATTAGGAGTACTCTTTGCATAACAAATCTAGTAAAAGCAGCTCTGCAAGGAGCAGAATGCTGACACTGAACTCTGCCTCCCCTGGGATCTTGGGGACCTGCCAAAGGAAAGTCCATTTGTTCCCTTCACTTCCACATCTGCCTGAATGCCCTTCTGCATCTCATAGCAACACCCAGGAGCAGCTATTTTAGCAGTGGTTAAAAGGGTAAGACTGCCCTCCCTAATGTCCCAAATACACAAAAGGATGAAACGTGCCCAGGAGGGGGTGAGGGAAACAGAGAAGTGCCCGTTCTTGAGGGTTACTCATTAAAAGCAAAGTTGCCCACTAATCCTATCTCAAAAATCTGATCTCTAAAATCCCTGGCCCTAAAATGGTGCCCCACTCCCACCAATGAATCAAGTGCGCACACACTGAGTAGTTTATGCTGAATTTTAAAGCCTATAGGACGGCCAGAGGCTGATGACATGGGACCCCTCTGACTTGGACTCCGAAGTGACTATTAAACAGCACCTCCTTGGTGGGTCCGAAGCCAGGCTCACCCAGGAGGACCAGCAGCAAGAGTGAAGAAGCAGTACAGTGACCAGCGGTCACTATCTGCCCAGGCCAGGCTCACACCTACTCTCTCGGCATCATCAGTAAAGTGTCTTCTTTTGAACTAGAGACCTTGGTTACTGTGGACTCATCTTTCAGATACAAAACCTCCCACACAGGCAGTTCAATCCTGACCTAGAACTGCCTCTCATTACTGTCCCCTCTTCAAATGCAAAAGTATTATTGCAAACACCTATATGTTTCTCTCACCCAAAGTTTTGCACACATGGTACAGCTTTCCAAATCACCCCATGGAGACGGTCGAAGATAATCTGCGCTTAGAGGTGAAACCTCACAACGTGTTTTTATAGTGAATCAGATAAGGAAAAGCATAAAAGGGAGCCCCGAAATTTATTAAAACTTTCACAAAATTCACTTTGAAATATAGCCTAATATTTATTTAAAACTTATTCACATCATTCATAAAGCTACAAACCACTATACGCTTTCTTGTTTTGTCTTATGGCATGAAAACACTGCCATCTGATGAAGGCAGCACAATAAAATGCACACACATACACACACAACTCCTGGGACTTCAGAACATTCGAAAGCCCTGACCTAGGGGGCTTAAGACAGATCTTCTGCAGAATCTTTTGGGATTTAGAAGACACAACATTTGTCATCCCTTTATTCATAGCTTCACTGTCTACTGTGTGGGTGTGGAGAAGATGAAGGAAGTTCCACAGACCCTACAAGCCTTAACACCAAAAGAGAAAGATCAAATTAACTATGTATATTCCCTTTGTTACATTTTATTTACTAAAAATGGATATGATTTATCCTGAACCTCACTGGTGCTTTCCACCTGGTCTCTGCCATCTTTACTTTTTAGTGTCACACTCATTCTGGACATCCGTGCAACTCCCAGAGCTTCTGACCGACTGCTACTCAGATTCAGGAAGTACAGACCAGGCACCGAGTCAGAGCGCACGCTCCACCAAGAAGCACACAGGGCAGATCTTCAACAAAAAGCAAAGACTGAGGTGGGGGACTTCTTTGGTTTACAAACATACTGAGTTACACACACAGACAGACAGACAGACAGACAGACACACACACACACACACACACACACACACACAAGAGCCTCAGCTTCTTAACCACTAAAGCACCCTCCAGTCTTTCTCCTGAAAACAGTAAGATAAAAAGCAGAGTCTAAGTTGGTGCTCTTCCCCAAAAGGCAGTGAAACTGTTGTCACAGGATTTCACACACTGATCAAAAGAGATACTTAAACCCCACTCCATACTCACCATCCTCCTCTTGGGTTTTAAGGACCATCTTTTTCCGTCACAGCAGGACCCTAAAGGTTGCTCGGTTTTGTTCTTCAAAGGAGAACTCAGCAAAGTTTCCCTGGGATGTAGGAATGGGTGGGGCCAGGAATACCTGTGGGCTGTCTAGCCACCAGGACAGCTCAGAGCTGCTTCCTGAACCAACTACGGGGAAATCGCTGGCCGCACTCCTGGACCAATCAGCTTCCAGCCACAGAAGGAGCGTCACTCCCAGTTCAGGGCCACCACCCAGTTCCTGAAGTCAAGCTCAAGTAGCTTCCTGGTAGTTAACCATCTCCTCCCTGGAAGCCAACTTCGGTTGCAGTCCAAGGAGGCTAACAGCTGCATTCTGGTCTTTTCTCAGATTTGACCACAGCAATGGACAGAGCTGGCTGTCGTTTCTCTCCTCACTTTCCAAGTATTTTCTTAGAATGGAATCACTTAAAACCATGATCCTCTCACAATGAGATAATAACACATTTCCCAAGAGAATGACTAAGAGATCGTAATCATTACACTATGTTATGAGGTCACAGGCTAAAAGTAGAAGGCAGATATTAGAGGCAAAAAAAAAAATCCAAGGGCAACACTCCCGATATAAGCTCAATTTCATCCCCATTCTGTTTTCTGTGTTGCACCAAACTGTTCTTTTCTGCGTACTTATTATATTCATCATACCTGTTCACTGTTGAAATTAGGTAACAGTAATGAGGAAAAAAAACCTTAATCCTATCACCCAGGGATAACCACTGATGACATTTTGGTGTATATTCTTTATATTCTTCCAGATTTTTGTTCTATGTATTATATTCTCACTCTTTCTGTCTCTCTCTATGTATGTCTCTCTTTCTATATATTATATATATAGATATACACATATATTTCTTTTTATATCTCTCTATACATCTCATCTCTCTCATATAATACTTATAATAACCATATATAATAGAGATATATTTATCTCTTTAAGATATATTTATATTATCTCGAGAGAGAGTATATATATATAGATAACTATAGAGAGAGAAACAGAAATTGGTTATTTTACACGCTGTTTTATAACCATCTATTTTTTACTTACAACATTTTTCCATAACTGTAAATGGATATCTATCACATTTTTTATTATTCATGATATGGATGCAATATTTAACCATTCCCCTACTCTAAGTCTTTTAAGTGGTTTCCAATTTTTCTGCCAATTTCAACACCCATGAGCACACGTTCTAGCACATGTCTTTCATTATTTCCTGAGCAAAGATTCTTAGAAGTAGAATTGGTGGATCCAGATACAGCTTCCTATGTGTTCATGGGAGGGACTAAGGGGTCCCATAACTCAGTTACTCATACTTACAAGTGACAAACAGAAGGAGAACTTGTACCTATGGCATCATCACTGTAGGTAACATTTCTTGAGTGCTCACTTTGTGCCCGGCCTGACATAGCCTAACTCATCTAATCCTGAAAGTACTCCATGAGGGGTGTGCTGTTTTCAGCCCCAACTCACAGATGAGGACTCTGAGACCCAGAGACATTACACCGCTTGCCCAAAGTCCCAAACTTGTCATTCAACCAAGGTGCCAGCTACAGGGGCCACCCTCTGGCTGGCTCTACTGCTGGTCTCACAATACCCCTCCTCCCCTTAGTCCTGGTTATAAATACAAACTCCTGCAGCAGGTGTGCAGGAAGCCTGAGCCTGCTGTCTGGGGGCTGCGTCCTCATCGCAGGGTAGAAACACGCACTTGTACAGGGAGACACCAGAGCACTGCCTCGTTACACTCTGATAGTGGTCATGGGTGCCTCAAGGGCAGTGGCCTCGGCCCACCTTTTTCCTTCTTACCTAATAAGAAATAAATATATATACATATATTTTTAAAAACTCTGTTTTTAAAACAGAGAGGCAACTAATATAAACCCAGTTTTTTACCTTTCAGTTTCATATGTCAAAATCACAGTTATGCTTTCTCCTTTCTATCCTCCATCCATAATGAACCCCAGAAGTTCCATCCTGCTCCATGTCAAAACCTATCTTTAATGATTCCCAAATCAGCATTTCTACCTTCTGGTGCCAGGGCTGGTCTTTGATGCTGATCCTTTTTTTTTTTGTGAGGAAGATCAGCCCTGTGCTAACATCTGCCAATCCTCCTTTTTTTTTGCTGAGGAAGACTGGCCCTGGGCTAACATCTGTGCCCATCTTCCTCCACTTTATATGGGACGCTGCCACAGTATGGCCTGACAAGCAGTGCATCGGTGCGCGCCCGGGATCCGAACCAGTGAACCCCGGGCCACTGCAGCAGAGGGCGCGCACTTAATCGCTTGCGCCACCAGGCCAGCCCCTGATCCTACTTTTGAGAGGACGGTCACTTCTATTTTCTACTTGCTGTCAGCTGGCAGAGTGTTTCTCTGGAACAGACACCCAGAGGCAGACGTCCAGGGCCATCAGGCATGTGTACTTACAGCTTTCACAGATCCTGCCAAAGGCCCGCCACTTCCCTGATAGGACAGACTTCACTCCTGCCAGTCTGATATGTGAAAAGCAGCTTCTTATTGTTTACAGTCTGCATTGACCTGACGACCTTTTCATAAGTGTGAGGTACTTCCTCTTTCATGAACTGCTTGTTCATATCCTTTGCCCATTTTCCTATGGGTTACCCTTTCTTATTGATTTATAGACTACTAATCCTTTGCATTTTATGTTGCAAATATTTTCTTACAATCTGTCACTTGTTTTTAACTTCAGTTGTATGTTTTGTCTTACAGAAGTTTTTATGTGTTGCAATCAAATATATAACCTTATCCTTCATAAGTTTCATTCAGCCTTCATTGACCACATTAAGTATAGGCTGCTGGAGACGCATCAGAGAACTACAGCACCTACCCTCGTGGCGTTTACACTCTACTGGGAGCTGGGGAGGCAGGGAAACAAGAAGTAAAATGCGCAGTACGTCGGATGATAAATGCTACAGAGGGCAGGGCGGGCAGGGGAGAGTGGTCAAGGACAGCGCTCCTGAGAAAGGCAAAGAGGCCAGCAGAGCTGGAGCAGAGACAACAGCGGGGAGAGGAGGTGAGGAGGCGGAGGAGGGCCGTCCAGGGCCTTGGAAGCTATTTTAAGGACTGGTTTCCACTGCGGGTGAGATGGGCAGCCACTGCCACAGTTTGGAGCAGAGTGGAGGATCTGACTTCCTTTGTGACGATGGCGCTCGGGCTGGCAGGGAAGAACAGCCTGCAGGGCAGCAAGAGCAGAAGCAGAGAGAACAGCTGTGAGGCTGTTACAACACGCAGGCGAGAGGATGGCGGCCTAAGCAGTAAGTAGTCAAATCCCTGCTTCATTTACTTTTAAGGCAGAGCCAAGGACTTGCCAATGGATTCCACGTGGGTGTGAAAGAAGTCAGGGATGACCCCAAGCCTTTTGGCCTGGGCAAGAAGAATGGAGCTGCCATCCTCCAAACAGCAGACTGCCAACAGGACTCCCAGTCTCCACACTACCCAGCAGGCCTCAGCCTCACAGCCTCCAGCATTCAGTCCACTGGTGGCCAGTCTCTGCTCGGCTTCTCAGGACCTCGTGACTTTCGGCTCTGCTCCACTATTCACGGCTGCATTCTTGCTATACTGCCCAACTCACATTCTCAAAAGATGGACTTGAAATGGCTCACATAGCTGTTATCCCTGTTTGGGCACAGCGGACCACCACACAGACCCCCAGCCAGCCCTCAGGATAGGATTCTGTCCCAGCTCCCCTAAGTCACTCCCATAAGAGCTGCCGCTTAGGCGTTAACTGGGAGCACGGCGGGGAACACCTAGCCCAACACCACCCTGTCTTCTGTGTGATTTCCATTGTTCCAAAGCTAGAGCAACAGATAACACAGTTTGTTAAAAAGGAAGTAATGAATGGTGTGTCTTCAATTCCTTAAAATAGAAATTTAACTACTGAAGCACCAAACTACGAAGCTGACTTGCTCATAAGGAAAGTGACTGCACCACTTATCATCTGTATCGGGACGTTTCTGAGATTGAAAGTGGGTGCTAGTCATGATCACATCAGCCAACAGGCATACACTGGGGCTGTCCAGGGCAAGCGAACAACCACCACGCCACTCATCAGGCCCATCTACAGCATCAGTCCTGAGGACAGCACGTGGAAGATTATAACGTAGCTATTCAAAGGGAAGCTGCCCAGAAGCTTCAAAGTACGCTCTGAAATAACTGAAAAAACAATGGCATATTACAAAACCAGAGCAGTTACCTAGACCTCAGAGCAGCATCTAAGTAATGAGACTGGAGACACAGGAACTGGCCCAGGCCCTGTAATGTGCATTAAACCAACAAAGTGAAAGAAGACACTCTATAGCTATTCATAGTGAAAACCAGACATAAGGGCGTCTGGACGCAGGTGCTTTTTGACTCAGGACATTCTACATTTTCAATTAATAAAATACCTTCAACAGCCTTAATCCTTTACCCAGTCTCATGTCCTAGGGTGACGGATAAGGCGAAAATGTGCAAATATAACACTAGAAGAAAACTTGCGTGAACGCTCATGTAATATTCCGGGGAGAGTTTTTTCTCAGCATGATACCCACATCAGTCATAATTCCAAGGAGACAGAGACGCACTCAAAGGAGGACACTTTGAGTGTCCTGGAGTTTGGGGAGACCAACAAGGAGTGAGGAAGCACCCCAGGGCCAGCAACAGGGGGCAGCCCTTACCCCTCCTATACCTGCCAGACGAGGTGGCTGAATGGAGAGGCTACCTGGCAGAAGCTTTGGCAGAGGGTTCAGCTAACCCTCAGCTACCTGGCAGGGAGAAAACCTTGACCTCACTCGCCTCTCCCCTCCAATCTCCTGGACAAATCCAAGGGAGCCTGCGGACACCGTCCATCCACGGCAGCCTCCAGCAGAAAGCAGGAGGCGAAGGGTAGAGAGTGGAGACAGGGGCACAACCCTGAACCACAAGAGACTGGGAGCCACTCCTCCAGTCTTCAATGGCCCCATCACCTGCCCACTAAGTCTCAGCGCCTTATCATGGTTTCAATCCGACCTCCTTAATCTGACCCTGCTGCCTCTCCAGGCTCACTGGTGCCTGGTGTCTTTTCCTTTAAAATAACATGCATACTTCATATAAAAAGCAAATCGTATCTAAGGCTTAAAACAGAAAACCAATCTCCTGCTCAACTCTAACCAACCCCCCAATCCTGCTTTGTAGAGGTAGCTCATTCAGCTATTTCTTCTGCTAACTACCTCCCTATTTCTAACTGACATGCCCACGCTATTCATTCTCAAGTTTTCAATTCCAGATGTCAATTGCCTGCCACGAAGATGAAGACTCAGCTTTCACCCTCCTCCCACAGGTACACTCAGTATAGTTAAATTTCCGGGTAAATCAGTATTTAGTATTTCCATAAATATTGCTCACAATTTAGCTATACCACGTACTAGGATTAGAATCACCACAGAAGGGCGTTGAGTGTTTTTTGTTCTATTTGCTTAGTTTTCTATGTCTGTTACTGATTAATTGCCAAACTCTCTATCAAGGCATGAAACTATCAATATCGTGCAACATACCGAGGAATCTGTTTTCTGAGACAGCCCTCCATAAACCTCCTTCCTCCAAGGCCTCACCTTGTGGCTCTTGAGGCCTTCATGGCCTCCTCCTGAGCATTCCCTCAGCCGTTTCCCAATGCTGGGTCCTGTTTCTTTGATTCCATGTCTTTTTCTTTCTTGGATTACTTGCTCATTTTGGTGGAGCACATCCTCTAATAACTGACGGAGAAAAGATGTGGAGGGATGGGTTTCTCACTGTGAATTTTGGATGTCTGAAAATACCTCTATTCTTCTCACATACTCCATTGACATCTTGGCTGAGCATAGAATTCCAAGTCGATATCATTTTTGCTCAGAATGATGGAGGCATTCCCTCACTGTTTTCTGTTCCCGTAGTGCTGTGAGCCATGGTGCCATTCGGATTCCTAGGATTCTGTGTGTGACCTCTTCCCATCGCAGACAGCTCTCAGGATCTTATCTCTAGTCTCAGCATTGTGAAATTGCATAATAACGTGTCTAGGTGTGAATCTTTTTTATATGTTATGCTAGCCACTAGGTCGACCTCAGTTCTCAAGTCTCATATTTTTCAATAATTTCTTACCCTTTTTTTTTTCAGTTCTTATTTCTTGTAATTTCTGTTAGTCATACACTGGACCTCCACTGTGGATCCTCTAATTTTTCTTATCTTTTCACTCCTACATTTCATCTCCTTTTTGAGCTGCTTTCTAGGAAATATTCTTACAAGGGACTGAACGTTTATGTTCCCTGCAAATTCATATGCTGAAACCCTAATGTGGTGGTATTTGGAGGTGGAGCCTTTGGGAGGTAATTGGGTCATGAGGGTGAAGCTCTCATGAATGGGATTAGTGCCCTCATAAGAAGAGGCCAGAGAGCTAGCTCACTCTCCTTCCACCATGAGAGGACGTAGCAAGAAGACAGCCCTCTGTAAACCAGGTAGAGAGCCCTCACCAAGAAGCTGACCATGCTGGCACCCTGATCTTGGACTTCCAGGCTCCACAGCTGTGAGAAATAAATGTCTGTTGTGTAAGCCACCCAGTCTGTGGTACTTGGTGATAGCAGCCTGAACTAAGACAATTCTCCAGTTTATCTTTCAACCTTTCTATTGAATGTTTTATTCCTGCTATTTTTAGTTTGCAAGAACTCTTAATCTCTCAATATTTCTTTTTGATGGCATCCTATTCTTGTTTCATTGATACCTAAGACTCTTAAGCATATAGTTTTAATGTAAAGCTTTCTTCTATATCTTCCACAAGCTGTTTCCTCAAATTTCTTTTCTTCTGTTTGCTTTGTTCTATTGTTAATGTGGAGGGTTTTCCTTAAATCGCTAGTAAACATAGGCTGTTTCTTCATATTTAAGAGCAAGGCACTAACAACCTGATTAGAAGCTCTGTGTGATGGGTGCAGCCTATTGAGTGGCGAGTGTCATTGTAAAATAATAAAGTAGTAACACGTAGAGACTCCATAACGGGTTCTGTAGGTTCTTTTTTCTTGCTGGTGACCCAAAGAATCATTCCCCAATCTCCTACCTGGGCTGTGTGGGCTATAAACATGGCCAGCAGCATTTGGGGAGCTAGGTAGAAGGAGAAAGGATGGGAAGCTCACAATTAAGTATATAGATTTTCACTCACTCTCTGTGCCTTTACAGCCTTCTTCAGAAACTAAACCTTCATGTTTTACCAAAAGTGGAAGAGAAATCTCCTTGCTGCAAGAGATGGAGAAGAGATCTGAGAGGCTTAACTGCCCGCGATGAACACTTTCAACCCACCTCCAGTTTTTAGTCTCATTCCATGTCTCCATTCTCAGAGGCCGGTGGTGCCTTGAAGCCTTTCTGGGATTTGGGGGTAAATCATTTGGCTTCCTGATGGCCTCCCCCTCTGCAGCTTAGATCTTTCCTGACAAGTTGCCAGTGAGAGAGCTTGGGGCACACAATCATGTAAGTGTCCCAAACCCCTGGCAGTGCACGTGTAAGCTGGGATGGAGAGTAACAAAGATGTCAATCCTCTGCAGACAGAAATCCACAGACACCTGGAGATACTGCAAACTCTTTGGAAGGTTATTTCTACTTGGGTCACCTGAAAAAAGTAGATTTGTACGGTTTTTCCTCACAGACATGAATAGTATCAAATAGACCTTGCAAAAAAAAAAGACTTGAGGACAAAGGAAACATGTATGTGTCACAAAGAACTCAAATGAAGAACTCAAAGGACGTGCCAATCCTCAACAAACGCCTACCCTGCACCTGGCAAAGCAAGCGATGGGACTGCTGATCACATCTGCCGTACGCACCTGCATGAGCAGAACTTGAGCACTTCTATTGCCAAGAGAAAAAGTCAAATTGGTTAAAAAAAAAAAAAACCAAACCATGGCCTTTTGCCCTTTGTTTTACATACACAATTTGAATTTCATTTTTTTCCAAGTAGAGTCATTACCTTTGCAAGAAAAAAATAAGATTAAGAAAGGTGCAATTCAGGGGTCGGCCCAGTGGCGTAGCAGTTAAGTGCATGCACTCTGCTGCTGGCAGCCCGGGGTTCAGATCCCGGGCGCACATCAATGCACCGCTTGTCAGGCCATGCCGTGGCAGCATCCCATATAAAAAAAAAAGTGGAGGAAGATAGGCACAGATGTTAGCCCAGGGCCAGTCTTCCTCGGCAAAAAGAGGAGGATTGGCAACCGATGTTAACTCAGGGCTAATCTTCCTCACCAAAAAAAAAAAAAAAAAAAGAGGGCTGACCCCATGGTTTAGCAGTTAAGTGCGCGCGCTCCGCTACTGGTGGCCCGGGTTCGGATCCCGGGCGCACACCAACGCACCGCTTGTCCGGCCATGCTGAGGCCGCGTCCCACGTACAGCAACAAGAAGGATGTGCAACTGTGACATACAACTATCTACTGGGGTTTTAGGGCGGGGGGGGAAAGGAGGAGGATTGGCAATAGATGTTAGCTCAGAGCCAGTCTTCCTCAGCAAAAAGAGGAGGATTAGCACGGATGTTAGCTCAGGGCTGATCTTACTCATAAAAATATAAAACATAAAAAAATAAAGTGTGATTTCTTTAAAAAAGAAAAAAGAAAGAAAGGTGCAATTCTTCAGAAAGTCTGATCTTATTTTCTATCTGCAGAAAATCTATTATTAATGCCATAAAACGCCATAAAACTGAAAAATCGTATGGCTTTGAGCTTATGTGCATTTTTTTCCCGAGAAGGGGGTGGATACAGTCCTCAGATGCTCAGAGAGAACCCTCATGTTGGAGAATTCGAGTCTGGGATCACAGTTCTCAGAGTGGGTGGAGGCAGCATCCTCCCCAGGAGAACCCACTTTCTGGTGGCAATGGAATGACGCCCCACAGGGCTACACCCAGCAGCCACCACCATCAACCTCACCACAGTCCTAGGAGACATTTGGAGACATGTCACTTGTACTTTAGAAAATATGCATTAGACACATTCATGATGCTAAACAGAAACATTTGGGCCGGTCCCGTGGCTTAGCCGTTAAGTGCGTGCGCTCCGCTGCTGACGGCCCGGGTTCAGATCCCAGGCGTGCACCGACGCACCGCTTCTCCAGCCATGCTGAGGCGGCGTCCCACATACAGCAACTAGAAGGATGTGCAGCTATGACATACAACTATCTACTGGGGCTTTGGGGGAAAATAAATAAATAAATAAAATTATTAAAAAAAAAAAAAAAAGAAAGAAACATCTTCATCCACGAGGACAGAGAAGCAAGAGTACAATTCACAAATGAGAAAGAAGAGAAATAAACTTGAAGTTGAAATAAACTTCAAACTATACCTGAAAGTAGTTGCTAAGTAGTTTTAAATGCCCTGTAAAATAAAGTTTAAAATATCGGATGAGGTGAATTTGATCTGTGCTGCCCTCTGCTGGCAAGGTGAAGAGATTGTTAAAAAGTTTACAATTAGCCATTTTTGCCAATAAATTTAATTACCTTTTGAATGTTAATAGGGAGAAAAGAGGAAATTCATGTTCTACCTAGTATATAGCCCACACTCTGGTGATATTTACCAGTACTTATTTTCTGAAAGGGTTTTGCTAATATTAAAATTGGTTTGCCCTTTGTCCATACACTAGCTAATTTGTGGGAATAGGTAACAGCCAATGGGAGCTTATATTAAACAGGCAGACACAGACAACAAACAACACACACAATAAGTAATAAATTCACTAGCATGCTAGAAAGCGTAGGTGCTGTGGGGAAAAGAAGGAAACCGGGAGTGGGTATGTAGGGAAGGGGCTTACTCAAGTATTGAGTGTGGTCAGAACAGGCATCACCCTGAAGATGAAATCTGAGCCTCAGCAACTCTCCCCACCCATACCCCTAAAAAACCAAAAGACTGGACATGGCTTTTCTTTTCTAAAATTCTGTGGTGTACGAAACGCATTTATATTCTTCTAGAACCTCCTACTTCCTATGCCTCACCATGCAGACTAATGAAATTAAGTATGCAAAGTCTGTAAGATTTCATTACCAAGGCCGCCTCCCCATGAAGAGCCTCCCATTTCCTGTGTCTTCTGAGGAGAAAGTCTCGTCACCTGAGATTCTCTCACTTTCAACCAGAAAGAGCCTAACACTCAGAATACCTGTTCTCCCATTTTCTAGCTGGTGTTCACACACACATTATGCATTATCTTTTAAAAAAAAAAGTATATGCTGAGTACTCTGCATTCACTCAAAAAAGATTTGAGTCTTTACTGTGTGTTCAGTTTAAAGGATGCCTGTTGAACTGTGCTGAGTACCGTGTGAGCTGGTGCTGGGGCTACACACAGGGCTTCCCTGGAGACACGACAGGGTCCTGAAGGACCCAGGTGGCGGCAGTGGTCACACACTACATGTGGCATGCTAAGGACTAGGCTACAGAGGAGACCGGGTACTCCAGGCTCTTAGAGGAAGAGCCAAAAAGCAGTCCCAAGGAGAAGCAGGGAGAAAGGGGGAGTGGGCAGTCCAGAAAAGGAGAGTGACTTTTGAGAAAACCCATGATCTTAGTGGCATTATCTGGAGGAGATCTGGGGAGATTCAAATACCACTCTGTGGCCACGATCTTGAAGGAAGTAAAGCCCAACCTTTAAGGCTGAGGAGGCACTGCGTGGGAGAAGAAGGGCATTTTTAGACAGAGCTGCACACACAAGAGGCCCTGGTGCTGCCTGGCTCCCCACCTGTCTACTGTCACCCCCACGAGAACCCCACCACCCACTGTGACCTACTCGCCTTTCTGTACTCGCCT